ATTACAATAACTTTTTAAAAATTAAAAAGAAAAGGGTTAAAACCCCCAGCTAATATAATCTCCCGTACCTGACCTATTGTAGGAGAAGTGAGGTGTGTGAAAGTATTTGCCAAAGGGACCTTTGCCATCTCGGCCTCCAAGGACCACACGCTACGCTTGTGGAACTTACTCTCTGGCCAGGAGAAATTCATCATTTGGGATGGAGGCTCCAAAGATCCCAATGAACCTCAGTTCTGGGACCTTTATGTGGATGAAGCAAACAGAGTTGTATACTCAACATCAGGCTCAAAGGTAACAAACATTTTGTCCTGTTTGTAAAGTCAAGTTGTGTCCATAGCATTGAAAGATGGTTAGTTTATGTCTACAATGTCTATAAGGAAGTACTCTTGCATCTTAGAGTGTATAAATAGAGGTACACAACTGCTTGAGAGGTTTCAACCTTCCTAATTAGATTAGACATTGATAGTTTCTTCCTAGCCTAATATTTGAGACCACTCCTTTTTAGAATCATTTTGGTGCTGTGAATTTCCTTCTAAGTACTGTGTTATTTGTCGTCCATAAATTTTGCTATACTTATTTATTTTCACTTACATTTAGCTTAAAATAATTTGAAATGTCCTTTTTAATTTCTCCTCTGATCCACAGTTTATTAAGAATTGTGTTTTTGTTGTTGTTTTTAGGTGGCATCAAGTCATGTATGATCCATAGCGACCCTATGAACAGTAGATCTGAACCCTGTCCTATCCTGGGCCGTCCTCACACTGCTTGACACATTAGAGCTCTTTGTGGCAGTACTGTATCAATCCACCTGGTCTTCCTTTCCTTCACTGACTCTCCTCCTTTCTGAACATCATGTCCCTCTCCAAATAGCTTCTCCTAGCAACATGCCCAGAGCATATGAGATAAAGTTTTATCATCTTTGCCTCCAAGGAACACTCTGTCTGCACTTTCTCCAAGACATATTTGTTTGTTCTGCATTTCTCAAACTGAGAGAACTAAAAAACATATTTAAGCCTTGAGTCACGATATTAAAAGATGGTATGGCATCCTTATCCATTGCCCAGATCTCGGATACATATCAAGTGACTAAAAAGATCATGGCCTGAATCAGGCACACCTTAGTTCCCAAATTGACATCATTACTCCTCAAGAATTTGGGGAAAAGTAAGTCCCTGACTATATAAAAAGAATTGTCAGTCTTTAATATTAGTAATATTTGATTTAATTAATTCATAAATTTAGTTTTTCCATGAATGTCTTTTTTTCTATTCTATAGTACAATCCAAGATCCCACATTTTTTTTAAACTAGAGTGCCAACAATATAGTGCAGAGGACTAAAGAGGGGCAGGGGAAGAATCTTGTATTTGCTTATTTGAAGTTACAGTCTAGGTCTTTCTCTGAGTTGCCTAGTGCTACTATAGTACTTAAGTGGTGGCTTTAAAAGACAGAAATTTATTGTCTTACAATTATAAAACTAAAACCTCAAATCAGTAACTCACCACATCATCAATTCTTCCAAGTCAGTAGTCCCAGCCATTCCTTGGTTCTTTTACTTATAGACAATCTTCACATGGCACTTGTCTTCTCCTATATGTATTTACTATTCCTGTTTATGCTGTTCTTTATATAACTTAGAACCTATTCGTGTACTGCATAATGTATCAGATTTCAAACTGAAAAGTTGACTGTTTGAATCTATCAGTCACTCCTGGGGATAAAGATTGGCTGTCTCCCCCGTAAAGATTTACAGCCTCAGAAACCCAATAGTCACTAGGAGTCAGAACCATATGGCTGCAGTGGGTTCTAAGACTCAGAAGTGATTAGGTTTGGGATCCACCTTGACAAAGTCACGGGTATGATTTCAACATTACATCCAATTACATTATGTATGATCATTACGTTACATTACATTACATTATGTTACTTTACGTTACATTTGGACAGTGAGTACCTTACCTAGATGGAACAAATGGTTAATTATAGTAAAAAAAAAAAGTGTGCCATTTGAACCCACCCAGAGATGCCCTGGAAGATAAACTTGTCAATCTTCTTCCAAAAGGTCATAGCCTTGAAAATGTCATGAGTTGGAATAGACTTGACAACAACTTGACAGCCGTAATGGAAAGTGATTCCATTAGATTATCTGATGAAAGTCACTATATTATATTTCATTCACGAGTGTCAAGGATAGGATTCTGACATATATTTTGTAGAGGGAGCACTATTCCACCCAGAGCAGCTTCCCAATGATCTCTGCTTTAATTTTCATTGCTTGGATAGATTAATGCATGGAACCTGGAAACATCAGAACCCGTGTTCCGCATTCTGGGTGACCCTGCTGACACCTGGGCATGTGCGGCCGTGTTTGCCTCCCAGGCCCGAATCCTGACAGTTTCCACCAGTGGTGTGGTCAGTCTCTGGAGCTCAGCCACTGGAAAAGTGCAGGGGAAGCATCATCTGTCCAGCGTCAAAGAGGAAACACCCACCTGTGGGGTCGCGGTCCAGAAACAAGGAAAGTTGGTCGCTGGATTCAGCAATGGCTCTGTCTCTCTGGTAAGCAAATTTATTGAGTATGATGACATTTACATTTACTCAGCCCAGGACAATGACTGTAACAATGGGCTCTTCAGAGATGATGAAGATGGCCCAGGACAGGACAAGGTTCGGATCCATTGTTCATAGGGTCATTGTGGGGAGTTGTGGTGTCCTAGTGGCAAGAAGCTGCACTGCAATCACATAGGTTCATGGATCGAAAACACCAGAAGCTCCACTAGAGAAGGAAGGGCAATCTCCTCCTGTGCCAATCAGATCCTATTTGACAGTAAAAGGGGAAAAATGTAACCCCCCCCCAAAAAACCTCCATAGGGTTACTGTGAGTCGTAGTCAATTCTATGGCACTTACACCACCACCAGGGGCTCAGATGTCCTAATAAGTGGGAGGAAGCAACTCATTTACATCTTTATCTAAACTTTTACCTATAACTGTCGCCTTCTTAATTCTGTCTTGTCTTATGTCATTGAGTGGATGCTGACTTGTGGCGACCCCATGTGGTACAGAGTGGAACTGCACCCAATAAGATTTTTCTGGTCTCTGATTTTTTTTTCTTTTTTAAAGTGAGTGTGTGTGTGTGTGTACCATCAAATCAGATCTGACCGGTATAGGAAGAGATTATCCCTTCTCCTCCAGCAGAGCATCTGGTGGATTTGAACAGCACACCTCTGGGATTGCAGTTGGTCTGTGATCTTTATAGAACCAAATTGGCAGGGCTTCCTTCTTAAAGTGCTTCGGGGTGAGTTTTAATTAACAACCTCTGAGTTACCAGTCAAGTAAACTATTTGAACTACCCTGGGATGTTTTCTTATTTGTTGCTATGTACCATCAAGTCCCAACTGACCCACAGCTGACTCTCCCAGCAGGTTTTTCAGAGGCAGTAAATCAAATGGGAGGAGATTGCACATCCTTCTGTGGAGCAGCTAGTGGATTCGAACTGTGTGCCTTTGGGATTGCAGCGCAGCTTCTTACCAGTTCAGGAAACATCTAGTGGTGTCTCCTGGAAACTAGTAACAATTCTAAACCCTGGAGGGACTATAAACATACTGGACCCCACCTCACCTTCTAGGAACTCACCTTGGGAGGGGATGGGTTTGGCAAGGGAGTAGAGTGACACAGAGAGGTCTGGCATGAAGCATGAGCTGAAAATTCGGTATCTGCTCTGGTGATGAGCCCTGGGAACGGAGATGAACTTCCCTTATTATACACTCAAACTGTCATCGGGCTCTAAATCATTACTCTGACACCAAGCGTGTTGGGAAGCGAAAACACATAAGAGCTGTCTTGAAATTAAAAGCAAGAGAGATTTTATTGAGCATAAAGGGCAGCCACAGCTAGGAAGACCCTAGGCAAGGTGCTCCCTGCTGACAGAAAGCTGGACATGAATAAGGAAGACCAAACAAGAATTGATATTTTGAATCATGGCATTGACGTCATTTATTGGATAGTGAATATAGTGTGTTGTTTGGTGTCATTGAGTTCACTCTGATTTATCGTTACCATATTTTTTCCCTTCTTTTAATGATCAAATCTTAGCTTGTTGTTGTGTACCATCTAGTCAGAACTGACCCATAGCTGACTCTCTGGTGGGTTTTCAGAGGCACTTAACCGCATGGGAGGAGATTGCCCATCCTGCCATGGAGAAGCTGGTGGCCTCAAACCATGTGCCTTCAGGGTTGCAGTGCCGCTTCTTGCCACTAGGCCATGCACTTCAACAATACATTTTCAGTTGCTTTTTGTGCTATAAATGGGGTGTGAGTATGAAATGCTTAAGAAAATAGGAGCAGGGAAAATGAAACCCTCCTGTTAATCTTTCTCATAGCTACCTCTAACAGATTAACATACTTTTTACTTGCATGCCCTGTACTAATGATTTATTGCTTTTTTATTAGCTGTGGAAGTTTGTTCTAATGTTAAAAATAATATCTTCTAAATTCACACATATGGAAAAAAATTTCTTTCAGCATGTAAAATTTTGTAACAAATGTTATGCCTTGTACATTAAACAATTGCACTTTAAAATTTTCCCGAAAAACAAAGTAGTATATAAAGACTACTGCAAATATATATAGTATAGTAGTATATTCAGACATAAAGTTATAGGAATGAAGGGAAAATGTGAAATCTGGAGACACAAGTGAAACTAGAACAACTATGCTTAACTCACAGAATTAAAAATCAGTTATAACTAGACTGAGCTATTTGTATTTTCATTTGCTTATCTGAAAAAAATTGCATAATTACACTTAAAAATTAAGTAAAAATATTTAAATCCTTAAATACAGTGTGTAGTGGCTCCATACTGCCAGGTCAGACTGAGTCATAGCTGACCCTCCAGTGGGTTTTCAGAGGCAGTAAATGACACAGGAAGGGAGTGCTCCTCTTTCTCCCTCAGGGCAGCTGATGAATTTGAACCAATGCCTTTGGGTTGGCAGCACAACTCCTTACCACTAAGCCCTTTGTTGTGTACCATCAAGTTGGAACCAAACCATAGCTGACCCTCTGGTGGGTTTTCAGAGGCAGTTCATCGCACTGGAGGTTGCCCATTCTTCTTCCACTAGAGTTCCACTGTTGTTTTTTGTTGTTAGGTGCTGTTGAGTTGTAGACGACTCATAGCGACCCTATGAATGAAAGACCTGAACACTTGTTTAACTGTCATCATTTCTCTAAGTTCATAGAGTTCCTGGAGATAAGCTGTTTTGAATGTGGATGCCACTCCTGCTTCCAAGCTTGTTTTAATTGGGAAGCTCCACCAAACATTGTCAACCATGGGTAATGATTATCACATTTGGCACATCAGTGTCACAGTGTTTAGCATCACAGCAACCACAAGTTACCTCTATACAGCCAAATGACAGACCAGTGCTATACCACTTAGAAGAATGTTTGACCAAAAATAATTAAAACTAGGCCTGAGGGCTGCAGATTAAAATCTCCCACCTTTGGCTTGGAAGCATCACTTTCTGTCCACTAGGCTAACAGAGCTCTCTTTATGTTGTTGTTGTTAAGTGCTGTTCCAGTTGTAGACGACTCATAGCGACCCTATGGATAAAAGAGCTGAATACTTGTATAACTTTCATTGTTTCTCCACGTTCATAGAGTTTCCAGAGGCAAGCTATTTCAGAAGTGGATGCCACGCCTGCATCCAAGCTTGTTTTAATCAGGAAACTCCACCAAACACTGTCTACCACGTGTAATCATTATCACATTTGACACATAAGTGTCACAGTGTTTAGCATAACAGCAACCCCGAGTTACCTCTGTACAGCAAGTGGACTGACCAGTGCTATACCACTTAGAAGAATGTTTGACCAAAAATAATTAACACCAGGCTCACCGGCCACAGATTAAAATCACCCACCTTTGGCTTGGTAGCATAACATTTGATCCACTAGGACAACAGAGCTCTCTCTATGACTCACAGCAATTCTATGAACAACAGATCTAACTTTTGCCCTATCTTATGCCACCCCTACAATCTGAGACACACTCAAGCCCATTGTTACAGTCACTGTATCAATTCATCGTGTTGAGGATCTTCTTTTCTTCTCTGACCTTCCAGAGTTCCACTAACACTCCCTAATTATATAGTAAGGGTAGGGTAACAGGGAGTTCTGGTGGCTTAGTGGTAAGGAATTGCACTACCAATGTAAAGGTACAGACTTCGAAACCACCAGTCACTCTGCAGAAGAAAAATGAGCCATTTCTTGTGAGATTTTATTGCCTCTGAAACCCCGCTATGGGATCAGTTCTGAATTGAACTGACTTCAAGGGACACAACAACAATAACATGACATAGAATTACAGAGTCTAATTAGCATATCAGAGAAAGCCCAATTCACAAATAGGATATATCCACAGGGATAGGGACTGGGATTCCATCATTCAGGGATAGGGGAGGAGGACACGTTGTTCAATAACAGACATCCATGAATGTGCACAGGTTTCCCCTGAAGGAGACAGCCTGCTTGAGAAACTTCCAGAAGCTGTGGGATTCCTGGTGATCTCTGAGGATGAGTCCCTTCTCGCTGCAGGTAGTGTCTGGCTCACATTGGGGAGGAGGGGGCTCTCACTGGAGGGACCTCATGGGGGTCTACTCACTGAGGGAACAAATCTGTATTTGATCAGAAGTGAGGAGGGGTTTGGGGAAAGGGAGGGATCCCAGGCCACCAGTTTGCAAACTGTTTGGCAGGCTGGGTAGTAAGTAAATCCTTTGGGGATTGAAAGCCTTAAGGTGTCCATTACAACAAGACTCAGCCCTGCACTTGTTAAAATAGATGAATGTGCCCATGTGCCCATAAAAAGGTCTCTAGGTGGCACATACAGCTTGTATTTGAACACTCACTGAAGGCTGGCAGTTTGGACCTATCAGTGTAGCCATCAATGACCTGATGATCTGCTTCTATAAAAACTAAAGCCCAAAAACCCCATTTCCATCACGTAGCTTCTGACTCAGGGCCACCCTGCAGGACAGAGTAGAACTGTACATCTTTTATAGAAGCAGACAGCCACATCTTCCTTCTGCAGAGCCACTGGTGGGTTTGAACTGCCAACCTTTTTGTAATCTGTGAGTGCTTTTAACCATTGGCCCACCAGGGCTGCTTCCATAAAGACTTCCACCAAGAAAACCTGATGCGGTGGTTCTGTGTAGCACAAGGCAGTGGGCTGAGTTCTGAGTGTGCTCAGCCTTGTACTGGGTGCTGAGATGTGATGCTGTTGTTGTTATGTGCCATCGACTCAGAACTGACTCACAGTTGACTTTCCAGTGGGTTTTCAGAAATGGAAAATTGCACAGGAGGAGATTGTCAATCATTCTCCTTTGGAGCAGCTGGTGGATTCACACTGCATGCCTTTGAGTTGACAGCACAACTCCTTACTACTAAGCCACCAGGGCGCCCTCTGAGATGCAATACTGAGCACAAATGGCGAGGTTCTGCCTTTCAGAAACTTACAGCCTTGTAATCATAATAAGTAGCCAAACAACTTTCCAAGATTATCGATTGTCATCTGTCCTTTCAGCCCCAACACATGCACACACAGATACACACACTCCCACACTGCAGCCTCTCTGAGAACAGGCACAGCTGTCACCTTCTAGTACCAAAATGCCACAGTGCGTAGCTTGAAAGAACACAAATTTGTTTGTACATAGTTCAGGAAGCTGGAAGTCTGGGGTGTCAGGGTGGGATGGTCCTTGTCACTTTTCAGGATCTGTCCCATGATTCCAAGGACACCTATCTTATCTGTGCCTAATCTGCTCATTTTTCTATCTTTACAAGGATTAGTTTAAGACAGATTTGACATTGATCGTGGCCTCAATAGCACTACAATGAGAATTCTGTTAAGTGGGATTTCGCCACAGATTGCTGCCAGGTTGGAACTGACTTGTAGCTGATCCTCCAGCGGGTTTTCAAAGAGTTTTCAAGTGAGAGGAACTTGACCGTTTTACCTCTGCAAAGCTACTGGCGGATTCAAAACACCAGCAAAGTGCTGCCTCTGGGTTAGCATTGCAACTCCCTGCAGACCAGGCCACATCCAGGTGTAGGAATCCAACTCGTGCGTTGGGGGGCAACACTCTATCCACACCAGGGATTATGTCTCCCTGGTCCCCCATGATAGCCATGCCCACTCAGGAACATCCGGGTTCATGGAACGCCTCTCACATGCATAGACTGAGGTGCCCTGGCCCTGTCATTTCAGGCTTCGGCAGATCCGTGCGGATATTCCTGGCTGACTCACAGGGCTTCCACCACTTCATGGCCACAGATCTGGAGCACGAGGACTCAGTGGACACTGCTGTCTTTGGTCCCAAGAACAATCTGATCGTCACAGGCTCCCGTGACTCACTCATTCAGGTGAGGAGTGATCCCACTTGGCGCCTCTTTTCTGCTTCTGGAATAGAAAATAGGACTCTTTGGGGACCTTTCAGCTTCCAGGAGCAGAATCATGGAAACCAGCACAGGCAATAGAGGCAGGTCAGCAGGGGAATATTGGGGTGTCTTTGTGACCCAGCAGCAGACTAGGAGTGGTTACTCCAATGGTCAGTGAAGGAGACAGTGTATCAGATGAACCTGGAAAAGTGAGAAGATGTGGCCCGTGGGGCAGAGAATGCAGCGGGGAAAGAAAATGCTGGTTAAGGTTGAAATTACTAAAGTTGAAAAAAACCTACATGATAGGATAATGATTCTCTAACAAGTGGTCTCAGGACCCTGAGACCCTTTTAAAGATTATTGAAGACCTGAAAGAGCTTTTGTTTATGTAAGTTATAGAGGATAGTTAAAGATAGATAGATAGATAGATAGATAGATAGATAGATAGATAGATAGATAGATAGATAGATAGATAATGGATGGATCGATGAATGGATGGATAGACAGATGGAGAATTGGATACACAGACGGATGGTTCAGTGGATAGATGGATAGTTGGATGGAGGGATGGATGAATGGTGGGTGAATGGACAGATAGATGGACAGATGGATGGTTCAATAGATAAATGGATAGTTGGGTGGATGGATGGAGGGTGAATAGATGGATAGATAAGTTGATGGATGGATGGGCAGATGAATGGATGGATGGGTTGATAGATAGAGAGGCAGATTGTTGGATGGATGGATGGATGGATGGATGGATGGATGGATGGATGGATGATGGATGGATGGATGGATGGATGATGGATGGATGGATGATGGATGGATGGATGGATGGATGGATGGATGATGGATGGATGGATG